CACCACTAGATGCCTCTAAATCCTACACACTGGACCTTTTATGCAAATTTCTTGCCAGTGGAAATATCAAAATAAGAAAAAACACTGAGAATAAAGGGCTGAAAGCAACATATAGACTGAAAAAGGTTAAACTCAACCCTTTTCTACAAACAAAAGCTCATGCCATCAAAATAGTTTGAAGGGTGTCTTAATCTTAATCTTTAGATTTGCTGCATTTAATAATTCAGTTTATAAATTTAAATGAGTCACAAGTTAAAACTCCTTTAATAATCATTGTAAGTATTGATTTATAAGAGTTGAATATTTACCTATGAAGGATAAACTATACTTGTTGTCTTCCTTGGACCTCCTTATCCCTGACACATTTCATTTACAGGGTATTTAAGGAATGTAATTTAGGGTGTTATCCCCTTACAGAATGTGATATTAATGTTTTACCACAAGGTGACAGTATTTGACAAACTACAATAAACTGACCCTTAACTCATCTCTAGCTGGTATTTGCAGAAACTGGGGAGACAATATCTGGTGGGAATTTCCATGGAGAGTATCCAGCCAAGGTAAAGTCACACTGAACTAACTAATGAGGTCTCTGTGAGATTTATGGTCCTTTATCCTCCTCTATCTCTCCGTCTCCTCCTGGCCTGTGTGGGTGAGGGTGTTTGGGTTGGCAGACAGCGTGCGGAGAGAAGCAGACATACACAGAGTCAGCAGCTAAATGCTCATAAATTGTGTCTTTCTATGGCAATGTTTCATACCCCGCTGGCAGCTCGGGCAGGACACCAAGTATAATCTTAGCTAATGACACAGTGGAAAATGCTGATAATTTAAAAAACGTCCAAACTTTGGGGCATCACATGACCACCACCGCTTCCACTTTGGCTTGTCTGGTCTTTAGTAAATGTTTTGGACTGAACATTGGGTGTGGCTTTGCTGTTTCAGGCCCTGGACTACCTGGCCATAGGTGTGCACGAGCTGGCCAGTATAAGTGAGAGGAGGATTGAGAGGCTGGTGAACCCGGCCCTCAGTGAACTACCTGCCTTCCTTGTCCAGGATGGAGGGTTGAACTCCGGCTTCATGATCGCACACTGCACTGCTGCCGCCTTAGGTGTGCCTGTTTTCTGTTTTTAGGATGGTCGTTCCCAGCCTGGGAGCCGGGAGCCCCACTAAAACCAAATGGGGGGTCGCAAATACCTTTTGATTTTAAGGAGTGTAAGAATTATTTCAGCATTTGGTTCACTTCATGTAAAGTAAATTATCTAACAGAACAATGGCCACGCATCAGGGACAAACAAACAAATAATACATTATACAGACAGAATACAGGAAATAACCGTTTTAGACAAACTTCTTGCAGTTCATTATTTGGGTTCATTGTACAGTGTTCAATATAATATGAAATATTCATAAAATATGTCACTGCATCAGGGGCAGGGGTCTATTAAGGAAAAAGATCTGGGACCACTGTTCTAGGAGATATTCCTGTTACCAAGCAAAAACCTGATTCTGATTTTAATGTTTTGAAAAACTAAACCGACAGATGATTTAGGGTTTTATCATTTCATTCAGTTTCTCAAATTACTGTAGACACTTTTACATACTTTTCAAGGTTTCTGGATGTGGTTTTCCCACAGTCTAGGCAGCCACTGCTTTCAATTTATTATCTTATGTATGAGAAAAACTACTTTAAGAGACAACATTTCCATGGACATTAAAGCAACAGTAGGATCTGATTCAGGTGTTTGCAAGAATCCATCGCACCAGAACAGCCAATCATAGCTGAGAAAGACAGTAGGGAACAAGACTAAAGAAGCGCCTATCTTTCTTGGTTCTGATTGGTTGTTTTCGTTCAGGCCCGGTGGATTCTTGCAAATGCCATTAGGAGCTCTAGGAGGAGCCAGAGGAACCTGCTTTCTTCACAGATTATCTGTCTCATGTTCTACTGTCAGGATATAGTGAAAACAAATATGTCAAAAAGTTATTTTTATAAAAGTTACCTCCTGTAGCTTTAAAGCATCTCTATTTTTTTTTTTTTTTCGTACGTTTTTGTTTGAAGGTTGCATTTTTTTGATAACAAGTCTCAGAATTGAACCCACAGAGCAATCTTTAACACACCACCAAAAACAAAAATCACTTATCGGAACCATGGTTCTCTCGGGTTCTTCGAATCCTTGAAAGTTTGTGACTTATGAGGGGACGAAATCAAGGCCCTGAAAGTTTTCAAAATAAAGATAAACAGACATGAGGTGAATTTACATATTTCGAGCAAGAATAGAAATTGAATATTTATTTTATTATTATTACTACTACTACTATCTCTTTTATATTGTTGTCTGCGAGCTTACTGTACACCATTGTTGAGTGGTAGCTCTGAATCCTACCCTGCAGTGTGCTCTAACTGTCCCAACTACCTCTGTCTACAGTGTCAGAGAATAAGGCTCTGTGCCACCCATCCTCCGTTGACTCCCTGTCCACCAGTGCAGCAACAGAGGACCATGTGTCCATGGGCGGCTGGGCTGCTCGCAAAGCCCTGAGAGTAGTGGAGCATGTGGAGCAAGGTGACACGCTGCTAATACCCACACATAAGCAGTGTGTGCCTCTGGTCACACGTTAATAACCCGGGTCTCTGTCTCGCAGTGCTGGCCATAGAGCTGCTGGCTGCCTGCCAGGCTCTGGAGTTCCTGCGTCCTCTAAAGACCACCACTCCCCTGGAGAAGGTCTACGAGCTGCTGCGCTCCGTGGTCAGGTCAGACACGGCTCAGAACGAACTTTTCTTAACAGCAACGTCAACAGTTTCTCAGGATAATCTGTTTTCTGAGACAGTGCTACTGTCCATCAGTTCCAAAGACTTCATCTGTTTACAATCCAGCATCAGTGCAATGACTAAGATCTTATAATATCGTCCATGTTCTCAACATGTTACCCATGAATTGTGTCAAAACAATCCACGTTAAATTTAAGACATTAAAACCACACTGTACATCAATACTGGCGAAACAGGATATGACTAAAAAAATGCAACTTCATACAGGTAATGTTTACTTCATTAATCCAATTTTAAGAATGGTCAAAATCATATTTAATTAATTATTTATATTCATCAGTTTTACTGTATATAATAAAGCGATGCATATCTTTATGCACATACTCAACATTCACTGCACTTTGTCAAATAGGTACATCTGGAAATTGTGCCTTTAATGTATTCTTTTATCACAGTCTCCCTGTCGTTTTCATTGTCAATTTTTATATTTGAATAGCACCAAATCACAACAGAACTTATCTCAAATAGACCGTAGACCGTACTCCTGATGAAATGATTTACAGAGACCCAACAGTTCCCACCATAAGCAAGCACTTGGCGACAGCATCAAGGAAAACTTCCTTTTAAGAGGCAGAAACCTCAAGCAGATCATGGATCCCACATCAAATCACATTACACTCTTGAAAGTTAATCAGACAGAAATAATATGGTCTTTAGTAGAACTAGCATAATGTGTTCTACCAGGAATTTGACTGTCCAGCATTGTGTGTTATGCATCATTTTCCTAGAGCTCTCTGAACATGCAGTTTAAGTAGATTTTTACTTCCTCGAAGCTGGAAACTTCCCAGTTCTCTCATTAGGAATACAGTATAAAAGACATCATTTTGTATGGCTACAGTGTACTATCATAATGTCCTTACCAATCCTTGTCTCTCCAGTCCTTGGGACAGAGACCGCATCATGAGTCCTGACATAGAAGCTGCTCACACACTCATCAAACAGCAAAAGGCAAGTCAGCCCCAAATGAACCTGGAGTTATTCTGGAGTGGTGTAAGAATGTCTCATGATGATGACTTTATTGTTGGTGTGTCCTTTTCTGCTCTCAGGTCTGGGAGACAGTTCAGCCTTACATGGATGAATACAGGACGAAGCTGACGGCGTGAATGTGTACAGTTACAGACATCAGAGAGGGAAGCTACAGCTTAAAGACCCCTTCCAGACACGTATTAAGATATATACAGAGGAACAATAATGTGCATGTACATGTCCTTACTGCAAAAAAAGTATAATTTACACATTCAAATCCTTAAAAAGGACTCTATTCCTTCCTTCCACATGAAACGGAGAACTTATTGTCTATTTCCTGCACTAGCACTTAATGCTACGTCCCCCTGCCATGCAGCTGTAGTGGTCCCATTAGCAGACTCTGCTGGACTGGAAGGTCCCAATGAGCACCATGGCAAGACTGGGACAGAATGCAGCATCTGATGCCGATGAAGGACAGCTTTAAAAGAGGGAATGCAGTAGAGGTTGGCTCCTGGCACCCTGGAGCTGAGTCAGCTAACTTTAGCTGCACAAGCTAACTAGCTAAATGCAGCTAACATTACCATTACTGGCAGTTGGCTACTTTTAGCAACAAGTCATCTGGAAACTCTGTAAAATACCTCAGTATCTGTCTGTCTCTGAGGCTGTGTTCAGTCTCGGTCCCGGCCACGTTCCGTTACACGCTACCAGCAGCTACATTAGCAGTTAGCGGAGTTGAGGCAGAGCAGCCAGAAGATGTCAGAAGGAAAACCATAAAATATATTCTCCTTAAAATATGATCCAGTTTCACCAGAATCACTAATAAAGATGTGTTTTTGTCCAGGTGATAAAGTGTTTGTGTACAGAGAGCCATGCTGTTGCTAGCTGGCTAACTAATGAAGCTTGACTCTGTATTGCTAAAAGCTGAAGATAGTTTGATTGATGGGTGGATGTCATGATATTATTGGTTTAAATTGGTTGGATCACGCTTATGTAACCACACACCACATTGTGTTGTACAGAAGGAAACATTATTGGATTTTTGTATTGTAATCTGAAGATCTGCCTTTGTATACATCGTTAAAGGTGATAGGCTACTGGTGACTGGGGGTGTAATCTTAAAGGATTATGGCATTTTTTCGTTTGATCTGGAGTTTAAGCTTTGCTCAATGTGAAATTATGCAAACTAAATAAAAACTGTGAAATTTAAAAATTGTCTTTTGAATTTTTATTCAAAGGATTTACATAACATTAAAGCACATGGTAGATTGTGTGAACTTACAAAAGAGCTGCATGATCTGATGTGACAGTATCAACGTGGCTTCTCTCGGTTCAAACAGAGAAGGCGTTCAAAAATAAGCGTCCAATACAACACTTCCCCTTATTCCCCCCGCCCCCGAAAAGAAGAAAACGCATAAAAGCAAACACATTAACACACACACACACGCACGCACGAAAAACAATTTCGACCACTAAATAATGTGATAAGACTAGCCTTTAAAATAAAGCCTCAATTTCCCAGCTGGTTTGGATTTCGCTCCAAAACATTTGGTACCTCACAACTAGAAACTACACTTTCTACTCAACAGGTAGTGATTTCTCTGTACATGAGGGTTTCTGCAGACGCCTCTCCCCCTCCTCCCTGTCCCGTCTGATAACCTTTACCCTGGGGCGGGGTCAGAGGTCACCCGGCGAGCGTGGGGCCTGGTAAGGAGCCGCTGTGTTCAGGTTCGGGGGGGTAAAGGCCTCGTCATGAAAACTGGATCTGTTGTACAGTGGGAATCTGCAACAGAGGGAGGGAGTTTAGTTAGAGATGGCTACAAATGGAACCGCTGAGTTGCTGCCGCCTCGGTGGGTAGCTTACCTGTTGATATGAGGTGGTGTACACCATGACGTTCTGCTGCTGACCATCTGCTGTAATGATCCCAGCCGGCAGGGGATTTGCTGATGAGGGGAGAAAAGCAGATTTTTATGAGACTGAACTGAAACATAAATAGCAGATTGGGAACAAATTAATGTAAACAAGACTACTTACAGAAGCTGTCGTCTGTAAGCTCGTCTCCGAGGCTTTCTCCCACTGACACCCCTGGGATCCCCTTCTCCCCCTTCATGGCCTGGAAAAAAAACACCATACATGCAGAAAACGTCACAAATGTGAGCGCAGCAACATCTGGAACTAAACAAGTATGTCATAGTGTAAACTGGAAATGAGCTTAATCCATGTTCAGGTCTTTGCAGTCACATGTAGAAACCCTGAAATCAGATGATGCTACACAGAGACGCTGAAATCCAGAACAGATCGGGTTGCAACAGAAACCAGTTTTGGTATAGGAATTTATCCACTGTGCTATTTGAGATAGAAGAAATATTGACTTTGGAAGAGGAGCTGGACCCAGTGTCTCTCATTTTAGGCCTCCCAAGCAGTGAGAACTTGTGTGATTGTGCCCTTACACTCAAAAACTGACCAACTCTAGAATGTTTGGGAACCCGACCTGAAATCTCTGCAGTAATGCTGCAGACACTCATCATTGTAACCTCTGCTGTTGTGTGTATGAATCGGAGCCATTGTTAATAAATAATAAAATGAATAAATATATTTTAAGCTGTGACTCTACTGCTATTCTCACTGAACACGCTCCAGTTGCTGCGTGCTCTGTGTGTCGCCAGCTTTACACCCAGCCGGGCTGCTTTAAACCTCAACAGGCTGAATGGAAATGTTAGCTGGCAGACAGACTAAATGGGCTGGTTATGATTATTGTTTATTTGGTAAAACCTTTGTACTGCATTGTGTAATCATGCAGCTGTTTACATTTAGATTTTTGGACCAGACTTGACCAACACTGGGGGACTGGAATCAATCTGGTTCTACCTCATCTAAACCTGCTCTAATGAAAAGGTGTTTTTACCTGAGAATACAAACATGACAGAAAGGTCAGTTTGAGGTTATGTAAATTAATGTAACAGGCTAATTATATTGCAGTCTGTGTTCCTACGGTCAACTGGACCTCAGTTTTGTATCTCACCTCTCGGAACTTCTGCAGGTAAAGCTTCAGCGGCTCCACGTACATGTCGAAACCCAGCGTGGACATGGCGAACAGGATGTCCTCGCCGTTGATGGTCTTCCTCTTCTCCTGGTGGCAGCGCTCGCTCGCCTCCGACGTGATGAAGCTGATGAACTCGCTCACGCACTCCTGCACGCACTCCTTGGCGTCCTTTGCAATCTGCAGAGAACAGGGACGTAATCGGAATGATCATTTGTAGCGTGATAACCGAGCTGTGATGTTATTGATAATAAAACAGAGTATTCCTGCACCCCTCCTCTCCCTCACTAACCTTTCCAGTCTGAGGAACGGCGTTCTTCATGATGCGAGCCACATTGGCGATAGGAAGATAGATGTCCTGCTCCCTGAAGTTCTCCTTGATGCTGCCGTCGTCGTGGTCATTCAGACTCTCATCTGCATCGTCTGCAGTAAGACAAACATAACAGGGTCAGCTCTTTGTGACCTGGGCTGAAACGTGACACTGATGGCTGTCCTACTCACCGTCTTGAGACTGGAGGACGTAGTGACCGGATGCCATGTACTCTCCGGTGATGCCCAGCTGGGAGGCGTCGGTGGTCGAACTGTCTCCGTCCATCTGCAACACAAACACACACCGTCTCATTAAAGTCTAAAGCTATAGCAACAAACCTGCAGAGTGTGAAATGTACATGTCTGAGTTTAATCCAGTGCTGTATCTTTACTGTATTCATTTTATAAGCAAACATTTGAGCTTCAACATTAGATGTAAACTTGCTCTGGCTACAGTAATCATTTAAGAGAAGCTCTGGCTTTTGCGCTCATGTTCTGGCTATGTCTGTTCACATAGTAGCAATATCAAAATAAACCCTAAACCGATGATATATATATATATATATATGTATATATAAAGTATGTATGCATCATCCATTAGTGGATTCACTTCACTTATCTGTGCTTTGAGCAATGATCTAATGGCAGCTGTTCCTGATCAATGCAAGAAATTAAAGGCAGAATATGCGCAGCACTGGAGCTTATTGTTACAGCTGTATTTTCTTCATTGCCTGCTGGGAAAACTCCAATCTAGGGCTACAACTTACAATTATTTGTCAGAAAACTGTGAAAAATATTGATCACCATTTCCCAAAGCCCAGGGTGACGTCCTCAAATGTCTTGTCTTTTGTCCACAACCCAAAGATCTTCAGTTTACTGTCATAGAGGACTAAAGAAACCAGAAAATATTCATATTTGAGAAACTGAAATCAGAGAATTTGGACATTTGTTCTTATTAAAAATGACTCAAAATGATTAATCAAAATAGTGAATTATTCAACTCATCTTTGCAGCTCTATTCTAAGCCAATCAGTATCACTTCATTGCACAGCAGTTTTCAGCTTCTCAGTGCAGGGATTTGTTCTTTTAGTGAGCTGCGTATCTACACAGAACAATTGGCTCTGGGAAATGTTAAGGTTTTTCCCCACTACTGTCTTTTTAAGCTACATACAACCCTATAAACACAGCTGGGACTGATGTCCCACTCTGCATGCCTGATAAACATGCATACGCTTTGGCCATTCATGCAGCCTTGATTAAAAGGTGCTTCAGCTACTACAAACACAGAAAAGGTGCATAAGGTTTCCACTGAATTTGTCTTTGGTAAATCAATTATTTATACAAAAAGGTGCAATATGTCTCAGTCCCACGACCATTTTAGTAGTGATCATGATAGCCTTAAATATGACCTTTCAGATTCAGCTGCCCTGATAATCTTACCCTAACCAACACACAGTGGTGTAGTGCAGGGTATACAGAGGTATAGAGTGTACCCACTTTGCCCCTCTGATGCATATTATTCAGTATTGTTCTGCGACCTGAATTGTTTTCCATAGGATGGCTAGTTATTCCAATTTTCATCAGTGGATGGAAAAGGGAATACTACTCAAAATGCAGAATTCTGCAGTTGTCTCCCCCGTCTCTGGGTATTCTCTCTGTATTGACTGAAAATCTGCACCTCTTCCATGGCTAATCCCATAATGATCCTTGCTCCGTGAAGTGATAATGTGCAAATACCACTGGCCCATGTTTGTGTGAGCTAAATATGTTAAGAGTAGTCTTACACGTCACTGCTTATAACACAGGCTGTTTATCCTTTGCTGGACGGACCACTTTAAATTTCGGTCACTGATTTCGGTGTAACACCATAAGGACTTCTGGGTGTTTTTTGGAGCATTATTTCCACACCATATCCATAGCAAAAATTTTAACAATTTATTGTATATGTCCACAAGCAGCTGTAGGTTATACTCTAAAACTCTCAATTTCAAGTTAACCAAATTGTTAAAAATGAACCAAATGTTTTTTTCTTTGTCTATGCGCGCTCATGTAAGGAACGTTTCTATTAATCAGCTCAGTGGTTCTGTTAGTTTTTACATTTAGGTTATTATTTAAGATCTAAACTTTGAAGACCTGATGACAATTATTATTATTATTATACAAAGCCTTCACTCTGTGATCTGAAAACTTTAAAATATATAATATACTAATATACGTATATCAGGGAAACTCATCTCTGATGTAACATTCACAGGAAATACTGTGCTCAAACCTCGTTTCACACACAGTTCCTGCAGTTACTGTGTTCACCAATTACAGTTGATCAGTTTTGCTTTACTGTTACCGTTGTGCATTGAATATAATATGAAATATCCATAAAATATGTCACTTAGTCTCCTCAGTAAAAGGGTCCCTTGAGGAAAGCGGTTGGAACCACTGCATTAGCTCACGGACTGAAAAAGCGGCTCTGTGCCAGATGTTGCCTTCAGGTCATTATCTTTTTATGTTTCCATTTAAAAAAAAAAATACCAGCTAGCCTAGCTGTGCAGCCTCTTTTAGAGGACGGACATATTTTCAGAGGTGGAAAACCGAAGGGTGCCCCCCCCCTCCCCTCCATTCCCTCCCTTTGTTTTACCCGCAGTTGAAATGATAAAATGTGTTTACTGCCTACGTTGAGAGGAGAAATGTAGAATGTGGCATTGCACTAGAGACCGTGAGCTAGTGTGGTTAGCACAGTAACTTAACGGAAAACCGTGTTACTTAGCCAGCTGTGAGCCCGCGGTGAGGTCAGTTTACATTAGCCACATGCTAAATGCGTTGATCTGTGTTTAGCTATCGTATGCTAACTAGCGGCTATCAATCGCGGGTATGTGAGATATTAGCTAGCGTTAGCTAACGTTAACACACAAACTGAGTTAGCTTGCTAGTTCGCTGGTCTTATTGAAATACTGACTTCAGGTTAATGAAGCGAGGCTGTCCAGCGGGCTTTTACCTTCTGTAGTTAACCTATTCAGGTACATAGTGTCCCTTGAATACATTTTCATTGTAAATCCACTGCAACTCGCGCCTGCAGACACTGCGTCGGCCTGTTCTTTGTCGAACAGAGCAGAGCAAGACGTGGCCGGGGCCGAAATGTTAAATAGTCATTTTTAAAGTTTCGCCCGCTGGATACTTCCTGATGAGCAGCCCTCATTCACTCAGACAACAAATAAAAAATCAGACAGAGACGGACATTTCCATTCGAGCTAACGAGAAATCGGTTAGCAATCATTGGCCGGAGCCAGGCACAAACCTGCAATGAAGCCCTGGTTGGTTACCTTCCTGAGACGGCTGTTTGGTTGGACAGAAAATGGCTGCGAAAGGACCAGTCCCAGCGCGGAGCCGCAGCTGCACTACCTCCTCTGGCCGGCAGAGGGCCATGCTGCGTTCAGGGACGCCACTCAAGCTCCTACTTCACAGGTTTAAGGTAAATTCAGCAGTGAACTGTGAAATTGTGTGGTCTATTGACCGTGGTAGATGATTTTAAGTCTTTTCAAATGCGTATTTAGAACCGCTAGTTCAATAATAAAGGTTAAGCACATTCTGTGCATTCTGACACGAATTAACGAGGGAGAAAAACACACCAGGCGCTTCCGGGGTAACATCGTTTGGTCGTAATCGCAGAGCATGACCATGACTCCTACATTTATGGCAGCACTGGAACTCATCTCTTGTAGCCTAACAGGTTTCCCGCACATGATTCACTTTCCCTCTGCTTTCCTTTCAAGAGAACTGCTCAAGTTGTTTTCCACAAATGTTTCTGTAGAAACAGGAACATTTCAGGCCCCTGAAGTACCGCACCGAAGGACCACATACCAGCAGAAAGCCTGTTTAGGTATAAAAAGAGCCTCTTAAGGTCAATGAAGCGAGTAATGTGTAGAAAACTGTTCAGAGAAATGCTAACATTTCACCACAGTCACACTTTGACAAAACTAAGGTAGGCTGTGTTATCCTGAACAGCTTTTCCTGCCAACAGACGTCACAGTTTATTGGCAGGTGTATTGCACTATGGGTTTCAGATAGTTTAATATGTTTATTTGCAGTGCTTTCAGTGGTAGAGGGTGTTTATGAACCTGTTTACCGACACTCCCCAAGGGCAGCTGTTTAGTGGACATATAAAAGCAGCTTGATATTCAGGGTTTCACCACAAGGTGTCGCCTTGTTACCGTGAAACTAATACAGGGTACTTTCTGAGTAATAAGGCTTTCTTGCAGACTTATTTACATACAAAAGTATTTATATAAACTACACATCACACTTATTCATAGATTCTCAGCATTATTATTATTATTTATTACACTGCTCTCATATATTGTACTATTATTACGACCTGTGTCTCAGCATTTTAATAATTTCTCTGAAGAAAACTAAATGAAATAGTTTAGGTATTTAAGTTTAAGTATTATTTAAGATCTAAACTTTGAAGGCTTGAACACAAGCATATCATTATTATTCACAGAGCTTTCACCCACATTTTACACAAAATGCCTGCAGTTATTTCTTTCATTGTTTGGGTTTATCAATGTTAGTTTTGCTTTACTGTTACTGTAATACATTGAATATAATATGAAATATCCATAAAATATGTCACTAAGTCGGGTCATCCCTTAAGAAAAAAGGTTGGGAACAACTGGTATAATGCACACATTCTTACATACTCCTTATTCTTATATTTTATTTCTCTTATAATTTCTCTTTGTTTAGCAATTTAAGCAACGGTACTGTAACCCACTTAATCAATAAAGTATTTCTGATTCTCATTCTGAATAGTTTTTCAACCAAAAGGTATTAACCTTAAGTGATTTCTGTCAGTTATTTGATTGGATTCCACACCATGACACTGTGATTATGCTTTTACTTTTTACAACCTGTAACGTTGAATAAAGTATTTTGTATTCTGGCAGGAAACACAAAAACAAAACTTCTTTGCAATTTGTTCGTATAAAAAAAAAGACTGAGTTTTGACATTCATTTTTACAGGTCTCATCCAAATAGTATTGACATTCCAAACTCCCTGCGAGTTGATGCCTCCAGTGTAAGAAAGAGCCCAGGGGCCAAAGTCCTTCCTCACTGAGGCTGTTTGTGGGTCTGCGATTGTAGGACAGAGGCAGGGTAGAGGAAGACGAGGCAGAAGCAGAGGAAGGATCTCAGTATCTGGACTTGTAGCGGTGAATCATGGATCCGCCGACCGGGCCGTCCCTGGGGCTTTATGACTATGACCTGCTGGTTATTGGAGGGGGGTCAGGAGGCCTGGCTGTGGCAAAGGTCAGCTCCACTCTTACTCAGCTCTGCAGTTAGTCGTAGAGTATTTACAGTACATGGATTTGTTTCCTGCAGTTCAAGCTGTCTTTGCTCTCTGCTTTTCTTTTGTTCTTTTTTGAAGCTTTTAGAGAAAAAGCAAGCAGAAAACAGGGCTTGAAGAATGTATAAATCCATGTATTCTTTATGAGACTGCTCAATTAATTGAAATTTGATCATGATTACGATTTTGGGGCCAAACGATCTCAAAACTAATAAAATCAACATTGTATAGAAAAAAGCTGTGTCCGTATTCAGGGATTGGGACACAGCCACAGTCTGAGTATTATGTGCATGCGTATTTCCGCCCCTCCCCCACAGCATGCACTGTACGTTGTTTTCGTTGGAATAGGTAATGGTAACAGTAACAGGTAATTCAAATGTTGTGGCAGTGCACTAAAATTGGAGAACACAAATTGTTTTTCTATGGCTTATCTTTTGTGTGTTATTTTATTTAATTTAACTTTTTGTAGAGATTGCAAGAGTGCACTATGACTGTCAATGTAAAAAGGAGACTTACAAATGTTTATGGTATGGTATCGATCAGCACAGACGCAGTATTAGAGACATAGCAAAGGCAGAATCTGTGTACAGTTCTTTGCCCCCACAATGATTTTTTTTATCTGTTGCATTGCAGTGTTATCATGAGTCCGATTCTGATCAGGCACAAAGCAACACAAACAGCACATCATAAAAGCTTGTCCCAGGTGAAAGGTGAACAGACTTTGTCATTGGCTACAGCCCGAGCTGAATTGATTAGCCAATCGACAGAAAATCAATCGACCACTTTTTGAGAGAGGAAAAAATGTGCTTGTTCCAGCCTCTCAAAGATCAATGTTTTACCATTATTTCTTAATGTTTTCTATATGAAATAACAGGTGTATGTTCATCAATTCTATTTTTTTTTTTTTTTTGGTTGAGGAAATCAATTGTGTTGTGAAAAAACTAATATAAATATACCTTTTTGTAAACTTTTGTTGGGGAAAAAGTTAGTGAAGCCTGAGCGACATTGCTTAAAATGAGCAGGTAAATACAATCAGGTGGCACCACATTGTTGGCTAAATGAACCCATGAAATGAGAGGCGGCTCTAATTGAAACGTATCAAACCAGAACTTTGTACCAAAGTACAGAACCCATACAGGTCAATAATGCAGAGAGTACGGCTAAATTAAATAAAAATAAAAAACTATAATTTCCACATTAAAATTCTTAAAAAGTCATCTACTCCATCTGCCTCATTAAAACTTCCAGAATCTATGAATATGCAAATGTTGTTCCTGGAAATTGATTAAAATGACCAAATATCCTTGAAATAATCAATGTTGTCCTGGAACATTTTAATTGTATTTTAGCCTAAGTGGTGGGCAAATTATTGTTAATGATTGGAGGGCGGAAAAACATTATGAGAAAGGCCGAGCCCGCTGCGTCCCTTAAACGATGACCACTGTTTGTGAAGTTCTTCCAAACTATTTGTGATGTCACAAATCATGCTGGTAGGCCCCGCCCCTTAAAATCAGACATTCAATGAGCTCAGAGAAACTTTCCACTTTCAGCAGATGAATGTGAAAACATCCTTCTAGAGTCAAACTCTGCACAGACAGTATTCAAACAGCACACTGTAGGAACAAGAAGAAGCACTGATTTTTGAACAGAAGGGGATTTTAGAAGTCGGCCTATCAGATATCTGTTTTAAAAACTCTCCATTTATTTGCATTTGTACTTTCTGAGGTTTAAAGTTTCCCGGCGTGCATCCAGCTGTAACCCCAGCTTCACTCCCAGTATAGAGGACACTCCACTAACTCATAATTACTGCTAATCTGGTCAACAAATTCACACTTTGCCAAAGCACAGCTCAGATAATTATCATATTAATGGGCTTTATGGTAATGGGATGATCTGTGAGCAGCTCCAGAGGAAAGTGGGAATGAGATGAAGGGGCAGGAGCTGGGATTGTCGAGAAGGACAAATGCTTAACCCGTTTAAATATTTAATTTCTCTGTCTCTCCCATTTGCGGTCTCTGACTCTGTCGGCCTCATTTATGCTGTTTTTCTTCCTCTCACTCCTTCAGGAAGCGGCAGAGTTGATGAAAAAGGTTCTGATCCTTGACCTTACGGCTCCCTCTGCAAGAGGCACTGAGAGGGGTGAGTGTTTAACTCTCAGTCTGAAGAGCTGTGGTGATTATGAATCATTTCTCTTCTGGAGTTTTGTAGATACATTAGCTATCATACACTCTCTTCCTACTGTACTGTTGCTTTAAATGCAACAATTTCTTTATTAAAATGAGAAATTCTCCCCTTTGCTGCCATGTCACGTCTTATCTTTTGTCTTCTTTTTTCACTTTTCTTCTCCCCCTCTCTGCTTCCTTCCTTTCCTTTAACTTCAAATCTTTTCCTCTCTGGCCTTTCTTATCATCTCTTTCCTTTCTTCCAGTGCTGGGCGGTTCCAGTCTCAACTTGGACAGCATCAGGAAATTTCTACAACAGGCCTCTCTACTGGGAGAAGCTATTCAGGACTCTCAGAAATATGGCTGGAGAATGAAAGAGCCTGGTAATTAAAAAAAGACCATTAAAATGAACTGTGTGACAGCTGATGCTTTAAATGAATTGAGAACAGGACTATTATGTTTGCTTTACGTCAGCGTCTCATGGCTGGGGGGAGCTGGCGGGGGCTGTGCAGGAGCAGATGAAGACTCGCAGTTTGGAGCTGAAGAAGGAGCTGAAGAAGTGCGGAGTCTTTTACCTCAATGCCCGTGGAGAGATAGTGGCGCCCCACACAGTGGAGGTAAACACCTATGAAGAAGTATGATAGGGTTTGTGATGGAAGTCTAGTGACTTTGCAATTATATGGTCAGGGTTTGTCACACTTTTTTTGTTTTTTTTAAAGATTTTTGGGGGGCTTTTTATGCCTTTATTTGATAGGACAGTTGAAGATAGACAGGAAAGGGGGTACAGAGAGATGGGGGGAGGATATACCGCAAAAGGCCGCAGAGCTAAACGCATTCTTTGAGGCTAAGGGAGCTGTTAGTTAAAAGCAGTAACTACATATTCGGTCAACATCTAGTTAATACCAAAGTCTGACTTGTTGGCATTTATAAATGTATAATTCCAAAGAAAACAGCATGTTAATGTGCAGTTAAAACAAAACACAGCTAAAAACCGGTCCACTTGGGTGCCCGCTGCTCCCCCATGTACCGGGGGCTGCGTCCTTGTTGCAGCGGCCCAAGGGTGTCATCCCCTCTCTCTGCCCCCTTTCCTGCCTATCTTCAGCTGTCACCATCAATTAAAGGCAATAAAAGCCCAAAAATACGTAAAAAAAAACAAGCCAAATCCTGTTAAAGCTAGCTATTGATTACCAAGGGTAGCCTTGACTGGAGCCTCCTAACTGTTAAATAAATTGCTAAATATATCAATTTTGGTGAACTAAATCCTTGGTGATTTAGTTTGTACATTAATTTCTGGTATTAATTCCAAGGTGATTATTATTAGTATCATTAAAAACAATAACGTTAGATGGAAAGCTAAAAGAACACATTTTGTTTGCTAGTACTGTGTTTTCACCGGTTTATGGTACATAAGTACAAAAAGACATCATTTCAGTTTACCCAGTCTGTTGAAAATGTTCAACCCTTTTTCTCAACTTCAGCTCTTCTGGAGTTGCTGCTCTCTGCCTTTGTAGGGCAGCCCAAGAACATTTTCATACTGGCACAATGCTGGCACTTTCTAACCCTGGCTGTAACCTACGACAGGGTTCAGCAACCGGCACTATAAAGAAAGAAATCTGTCTGGAGCTGCAAAACATATTCAAGCTGTATAATACTAATTTCTTGCTGCAGATCAAGCATATCGTTAAGCCAGCAGCGTTGCTGGTGGGAGCAAACTAATCTGTCCACGCACTATTAAATTCTCTATCTTCCTCCAAGACTTTTCTATTTTTAGATTTGGAATCCCAAGAAAGATTGGAGACTCTTTCCAGAATATAGATGAAGATTTCGGATCCTGCAGTTTGACCTTCTCACTTGCCCTCCTATGCTCTAATTAGTTTGGAGCCATAACTAGTAAGAGACTGGGAGGAGTTAGGGAGAAACAAAGGGGAGCCCAATGTGCTGGGGCTGGATCCTTGCCGCAGCAGCCAGTGTTCGGTTCCGGCCTGCAACCTTTTAATACATGTCATCCCCCCTCTCCCCTCCCCATTTCCTGTCTGTCTTAATCTATCCCTATCAAACAGAGGTGTAAAAAGCCCCTGCCAAAAAAAACCCCAGATAAAACCCAATATAGTGTGAGAGGCTTAATTAAACACTAATTTTAAGGATTTCTTATGAAACACACAAAAAAGTCACACCAGCCACTGAGCCCTAAATCTTGATTGACTCTGTATTTCTAGAGAGGAGCTGAGAGTTTTCCTAATCACGTCATTACATAAGACTTCAGCTTGATTTAAGGGTTTACGGCAAAGCTGAACCACATGTCTAAACTGTGTCACTCTTTATGACAATGTAAATGACAGAGTGTGAACACAGTTACTGAGGGGAAAATAAAGCACAGCATGGCCTTATCATGCTGATAATGATGTCTAGTGTTGAAATATTGATATCAATATGTGGAATCTGATGCTTGTAGTATTGATTTAAAACCTATGCTGTATGGTGAGACTCTAGTTTTCAGCAGCAGTGTTTTCTCTTATTTTTGTTCAACCAGGTGACCGACATGAACGGGAGGAAGAGGCGTCTGACAGCAGAGACCCTGGTCATCGCTACAGGGGACAGACCTCAGTATCCGGGTATACCTGGAGACAGAGAGTACTGCCTAACCAGGTCAGCCAGGCACTCAGACATTAGCTTCAAACCACAGTCTAAATATAATTATACTGCCTCACAGAACCTCTGAAGTCCCCTCTCCCTCTCTCACCTCCCAGTGAGGATCTCCTCTCCCTGCCTCAGCCCCCTGGTCGGACCCTTGTGGTAGGCGGGTCTGCAGAGGGGTTGGAGTGCGCCGGCTTCCTGTTTGGCCTGCGACTGCCGGTCACTGTCATGCTGCAACCCGACCTGCTGCCGGGGTTCGATCAGAAAATGGCACAGAAGATAGAGAACCACCTGTTAGTTAGTGGAGTGGACATCCTTTATCACAGCTCACTCACCAAGGTACTGAGTGAGAGAAAGACAGGGATTTTGTCGCTCACATTAGAATGACTAGAACATTTAAATGTTATCATGCTTGTGTGTGTGTGTGTGTGTGTGTGTGTGTGTGTGTGTGTGTGTGTGTGTGTGTGTTAGGTGGAGCAGACTGAAGCCTGCAGTCAGGATGCCATTTCAGGTATGGCTGTCAAAAGCTCAGGTTTATAATAGAAAAAGGATATCCAGATGAAAAAGTAGCGTGATAAAAGTACTTAAGAGGCTGAACAAGTGTCTAGGAGAAGCTACAGTGAAACAATTCTTATTTTCAGATTATTTCATTTAAGATTTGATTGATATTTGATGTAAGATGTGTATTGTATGAGTTGTTAACAGTTTTACCAAAAATACTTTTCCCTTTAAGCTTCTAAGACAGTTTTATTTCAATAACTTTTTTTGAGGTCCAAAGAGGTGAAACTTTACAAAAAAAGCAAAATATTAAAGAAAAGTAAAAAAACTTGCAGAGCTTTGCTTTTCCTCCCTCAGATTCACTGGAGGGTGCAATAACAGAGACTGAATAACAGAGAGAAATCTCTATTAAAGATGCAAACTACTCCGAGACATTCTACTTCCACTCAGTGCCATTAACAATAGCGTCTTGGATTTTAAAACATAACTATTTTTAAATGTAATATAGCTTCAGTAAAGAATTAGAACAATCAGATATAATAAATAATGTTTATTGCACTTGGGTGAGAATAGTCACAATGCAGCTTTTCGGCTACTTACACCTGGCCAAGAAAGCCTTTATGAAGTCAGGTGATGTAGTATAAATAGTGAAGTCCACATGAGGAGAAAGTCAAGGACTGGGGATGGTGTTCCTTGTGAAACCAAAAGTCAATCTCAGTTTGGTTAGGTTTACACACCAAAACTAGGAAAAGATCAGGGTTTGGGTTAAAATAATAAGTCAACGTTGACTTGTTGACCTGGGTGCAAATAGCATTGTTGGCTACTGACACCTGGGTGCTAATAGCATCTGCCCATATAACACTATACACTCTATATGTGATATTGTCAAACAGTTTTACGTTGGCATTTGCAAGAATCCACCTAACCTGAACAAAAACAACCAATCAGTGCCAGCCTCCAACCCAAAGGGTCTTTCTATCTTTCTGGTCTCTGATTGGTTGTTTTCATCCAGGCCCGGTGGATTCTTGCAAATACCATTAGGGGCACTAGGAGGATCCAGAGGAACCGGATTCTTTCACAGAGTATCCATCTCATGTTCTACTGTCAGGATATAGTGAAAGTTTCAGCAAATATGTTGAAAGTTACTTTTTATAAAAGTTACCTACTGCAGCTTTAAGGTCTGTGACTGGCATCCCTATATACTACTTGACTATTACTACTTAAATTACAAGATAAATTCAGATTTGTATGTTAAACTGGAAGCTAAATATTGCATTATCTTTTGTTCTTACTTTAATTAGGTGACTCTGCAACTAAACGACAGCAGGTTTCTCAGGGGAGACTTCGAGTGACCATCATCTCCAAGGAGGGCCAAACAACACAAGAAGACTTTGATACAGTACACCATCTATGTCCAATCAATCTTTTCTGTTTCTCGCCAGCATTTTTCCTGTAGAAAGCAGCCTGGTTGTTAGATTAATGACCACGCATTTGTGTGCAGGTGCTGATCACCGCTGGGAGAAAAGCCCTCACCAGCGACATTGGCCTGGAGCGTGTTGGTGTGCAGTGCAGCCAGGAGTGAGTTTAGTCTGTCAACATTCATTTTGGCTTCAGTCTGTGCGCGACAGCTAATGTTTAACAATCGTGTGTGTTTGTATGTGTGTGCAGCACCGGCAGGATCCTAGTGAACGAGAGGGACCAGACCAGTGTCGATCATATCTACGCCATCGGATCAGTGCAGCATGGACGCCCATCTGCTACAGGCCTCTCAGTGCATGCTGGGACACTGCTGGCCCGTCGACTCTACAGAGAAGACAGCATCTTGGTACACACGGTTTGGAAATAGTTACACCGATTGTTCCATTAACGATAATCTTTACATGCCTATTGATTTATCAGTCCTATAGGGTGTTCATTTTTGATTCTGTCTGTTTAAAAGCTTGTGCGTGAACTGAGTGTTGCATATTGATTGGAGCTAATATCATTTATCATCCACAGTGTGATTACACCAATGTGCCCACTGTTGTGCTCACTCCTCTGGAATATGCTGCCTGTGGTCTGTCTGAGGAGAAAGCCAATCTAACATTTGGAGAAGACAGCGTGGAGGTACACACACAAACACTCAAGCATGCATACTCCAACAAACAAGAGTCCTGATCTTGTAGCATGATCTAAAATCTAAATGTCTGCCCTTTTGCAGGTGTATCACAGCTACTACTGGCCCCAGGAGTGGGAGCTTCCTGCCAGGAATAAGAACTCCTGCTATGTTAAAGTCATCTGCCACATCCCCGACCATGTATGATTCTTTTTAAAGCAGCACTGATCAATATTTTTATATGAACAATAGATCAAATAACTATATGATGTCAAAAGTGTTGCTTATAGTGACAAACAATTATCACCAGATTTGCAGATTGACAGCCCGTAACTTCTCTCTTGCCGCTCTCATCTCATCTCATTTTCAGAGGCAGCAGGCAGCTATTTTCAATGAAAAAAGCTCTAAAATAATAGTTTTAATCCCACTGTTGCCCACCTGCCCAGCATCAAACAGGGCTGGACAAACACAAACAACAACTCCACAAATTATAGCCTTGAAGCTTTTTGTTCACCCCTGCTCTCCTTGTCTAACCAGTAGTGTGGTATCTGTGCTTACGAACTATAGTTCTAGTTTTCTTTTAGCTTTAGTTAGTTATCTTCCTGAAGTCAGCATTTAAAGGTCCAGTGTGTAACATATCCTGTGTATAATCACCTGAAGATAACAGCCCAGAACAGACAAACCAAACACTGACTCCAGAGTTTGTCCCACACGATTAGTTGGAGAGCAGTATCGATTTGGTTTCAACCTGCAACTTCACCACTAGATGCCACTAAATCCTACACACTGGTCCTTTAACTGCACATTGTAAGAATTGATTCATCATACAGTATTTTCTAACATATATTATAATATAATATTGCTGTCCAAACAAACAGAAGCCCCCCACACACCTTCATAAGTGTGATATGCACCTCAGCAATAAAATAAAGAGATTTTCTTTTTGCTTTACCCCTGGGGATATTTAGTCATAACAACAAGTTATCCAATAGCTCACACCTCATTAATCCACCCACCGCTTGTTATATTTTTAGCTCTTTCCACAATTGAGTTGGCACCACTCAGAAAGCATCTCTGCCAAGCTGGTGATAACCCTGTTAATATCAATGTTCTCTTCTCATTTACACTGGTGATCTGTGTGTAAATTATACTGTGATCTCTCAAACATGTTTTAATTGGGCTTTATTCCCGGTCTGGTGATGGGCTAATGATTGAAATACACTGGTCATCATTACTGCTAAAGTAACTTTTAATATTAATTGTTAAAAAGTTTTTTCTAGTGTGTATAACTCTAGTTAGTCTGAAGACTCAGACTTCTTCAGACTAATAGTTCAGACTTAGGATTCTCTGTCTTGCACTCAAGGAGCTTGGGGACATGACCCCGGTGACTCAAATTCACATTCAAGCTTGAGAACTCATTAGACATGGTGACTGGAACTCGATCAAGACATGACCTTGGTGACTCAGATATGGCAAGACCACACAAGATTGTGGTGACTGGACTCAATTCAGGCATTGTGAGAGTGTTTCTTATATAGGAAAAAGACTCAGGCAAGTTCTTAGGTTCAGAATTAAAAGAGGACTAGGGACGAGATTTAGACATTATTTTTCTATCTCTGACTCACACTAAGTAACTGGGACATGACTGAAATTCACATTCAGCCTTAAGAACTTACTAGACACATGTTTAAGACATCACCTTACTGTCTCAGGTGGTATGTGGTATGGACAAGACTTTGACTCACACACTGAATCAATTCAGACATCAGGAGAGTGACTATGATATGGGAACTAGACTTGTTCAGGATATAAGGGATTAAGACTGAGGACTTGATTTAGATTTTTCTAACAAACACCTTAAGGAGCTTGAACTTAACTTGTTATAAGGATTACTTAAATTCACATTCAGGCTTGAGAACTTGCTAGACCTGACCACCGTGGGGATTAGAACTCACAAATGGAGGACTAAAACTCAATTAAGACATGACCATGGTGACACAGACTAACTCAGAAGAGCAACTACTGTATGTGAGGACAAGACAGTGTTGACTTTGACTCACATACTGAGGAACACTGCTGTAGTACTAGACAGGATCTTATGGATTTGGAGCCAGGCTCAGACTTGAGACGACCTGGGACATGATTAAGCCATACTTCCACTGAGTAAATATTGTTGCGTTTCCACCTTAAGTACCTGGAGCTTTTAGTCCCGGGAACTACTTTTCAAGGAACTAAAAGGTTCCTTCAGCTCGTTGTTGTCTGGGTTTCACAGCTGTCTAAAGAGTATAGTGGCACGCAAAAATCGCTTTTACGTGCCACTATAAAGCAACGACCATCATCAGTCCATCGTATGCTTCCTTCTGTAACTCTATCATGTTGATGACCACTAATTGGTTTGTGGCTGCAGATTGGTGGCTAAAATAAAATGCTGCAAGTACTCGACCAATCACAAATGCTCAACGCTGCAAGCTCCACACCCAAAGTTTCTGCACTTTTGGAAAGCACAAGCGTGGATTTTTTTTCTGGGGTAAAATTATATTCCCGGAACTTAATTTAACCTGGTACCTGCAGTGGAAATCCACTTCCAAAGGTTGTTAGTGCCTTCGGTGGAAACGCGGTTTATGACTCAGACAGGATCTTGGTGACTCAGATTTTGTTTACGTTTGAGAACACAGAAACTAGAACTCAACCTGGCAGGCACTTACACATTAGGGATTTGGGACTAGATATGACCTTAATGACCCACAACTGATGGAGGATATGATGTTGGCAAATCTGATTCAGGCATCAAATATGTACGACTCCAAGCGGACAGAACCTTGACTACTCAGACTCCAGTCTTAAGAGGTCTAACATGACATTGGAGCCTTTGACTTACACATCAAGAACTTAGAGCTCAGCCTTTGGTGGACCTAGTACAACACTGCTTTGTCTCAACAGGAGCGTGTGGTTGGTCTCCACGTCATGGGCCCCAATGCTGGAGACATCCTCCAAGGCTTCGTTGCAGCGATGAAATGCGGCCTTACTAAACAACAGCTGGACGCCACAGTGGGCATCCATCCCGGGTCAGCCCAGGTCAGCATCCTTTAATCCACACTACTTCATAAAAACACGGCTTTGATGGCTATTGAAGCACAAAATGACTACTTGCTGCTTTTGACACCTATTGATTTTCCCCCCTGGCAATGATATTAATTCACTGTCACCTCCTTGATGTGCTCTCACTCTCTGCTTTCAGGCACTGTGCTGAGAGGTCAGTTTTGAGATATTACCATGTTCAGTCCTTGAAAAAGCTCTGCTGTCTGGGGTCAATGCCAGACCAGCGGATTCAAATGAGCTTCCTGCTCTGAATGCTGCCTGTCTGAATTATTCATGGACAATATTTAATAAACCGCGTCGCTCGCAGTCCATCTCTGTGGAGACTGACCCCACAGTACATGAGCGGGTTAATACTTGGCATTTTCAAACTTGATTAATAAGACAATCAAAGGAGTGTTAAATAGAGGTCACTGGTCCTGGCAGCGTCAGCTAAGAAGGGGTTTGAGGATATTGTGTAATGGCTAACCACAGATCCCCTGCTGGACTGATTGATTAGGTAAATTGATCGCTCTGAGGGAAGGAGGATCCTGTAATTATGAACCTTTTATTGACGCTATGTTTCACAGGTTAGAGCTCAAAGATTTGATCTTAGATTTCAAATGTGTGTTTAGCATATGTTGTCATGGTTTCCTATCTAAGCTCAATTATATTGCTGTTTTTGCTGACTGATGTTACTGCAGTTTGGGAACAGACCTTTAGCTTATCAGTTGCCTTTTCTTGCTTTAAAGTTAGAGTTCCTCTTCAAACTGCTGACTGCCAAACCTCTTTTATAGCTGACAAAGGCTGCTAGATAGCAATCACCATACTATGGCATACACAGAAACCAGTTTGTAATTATGATTAAGTTACTTCAGATTGTAAAGCCAGTATGTGCAGAGTTGTGTGATTACAGCATCTTACAGACTACTCAGATCACTTCAGTCATCAAATGACTGTGTAATGTGAAATGTGTTGCTCGAAGTGAGGAGCCCACAGATAATTATTTGCCACTGCAGTTCTCCTCAGCTCTACCGAGCCTTTTAGCACATTTAAGCTCATTGTTTTGATTTTCTGGCCCATGACTCCGCTCTCATCAACCTGCTGCTGTGTTCAGTGAAGACGCTAAACCATAAACCCACTCCACGCTACCTTCCCAGCACCAAAAAGCAGACAGACAAAGTTGGCGACTAGCTGGTGAAGTACTGTAGAGCAGTAGTAGATAGTAATAGAGCGTTTTCTGGTAAATAATAATAGGAAAGCACACTTAAAACTGTCTTTCCACAGTTCTTTCAACAATCAGAAAAGCTGGTTTGGTCAAAATAAACTCACAGAGTTTCACAATTCACAGATTTAAAAAAAAAAGCTGCAAAATAGGTTGCTATGGCTGCCATGTAACGTTAGATAATCCTCGGGGACAAATGGACACAGTGCGTCCACTAACAGTGCTTGTTGTTGCCACTGAAAGGCTCAAATTGTTATTTTAGGTGTCTGACATTATGGAAAGGATCAGAGATAGACATTTTGTTTAACCAGAAACAGCAGTTATATAACTATCCATCGCCACCAGACTCCATAGACAAAAACAGTAATTTTACCTACAAATATTATATCATCATAACCTCATTCAAAGTGGACAGAAACACAATAAAACTAACCACAACCATCTCTGTTAGTCCACTGTTTCAACAATCACTGACTCTGGTTTGGTTGAAATAAACCTTTAATTCACTGATGTAGATGAGAATACAGTTGTTGCAGTCACTGTCCTCAGTTGTACATGGAGGGACTCACATGCACGTGCGGCCAGACTGGCTTTGTAAACAAACCAGTAGCAACTGTCAATGGTAGCAACACAGGCAGAGTGTGACGTCATTCTCTGCTCAGGACACCATGACTCCACTATCTCCTTATATAGCTTATAGTTGTTTGCTACATTAATGTTATCTTAATGTTTAAAATCTCATATATATATAACCTTTAAGTCATCAATTTTCCGTATCAAAAGTCTTGATTTGCTTTTATGTAGCAGAGGACAAAGTAAGAAATAACTTTTCTTTTTTTCTTTTGTTTGTTTTCTCCATGCAGGTGCTCAGCTCATTGACCCAAACCCAGCGTATGTCTGAGGCCTTGATGATGAGGGGAAACTGCTGAGGTTAGCCCCCTGCTGTCAGTCACAGTTGCCTATGGCAACGTTGTAAGACAGCAGGGAAGGGCTTTGCGGTCACCCTGAGTAGTGACGGCGGCAGGATGGTCAGCTGACCATCTGATGACATCTTCACCTGAATCCTGACAGACAGGCGGGCGAGGACTGATGCTCTGCTGCTGACACACTTCTTGTTTTGTGTGTTGTTTGTGTCTGCGCTGCTTTTTAGGTTTGTTTGCATTTTTTATGAATCGTTTGCTTCAAGCAGAACTTTGAAATATACAGTACCATTGATGCATTTTTATGACTCTCAACTTTAAGGAAGATAAGATACTCCCCGAGGTTCTGCCTCTGAAAGCCTCTGTAAGCTTTAATACAGCTGAGTTTTTAAAGGCTGCAGGAGAGTGATAAGACTCTGGGATTTGATGCATTTACATGGAGTGAAAGCTCAGGCTTATACTCTGTGTTTTTATTGCTGTGGCACAAGCCTCAGGGGTTTTACAGCCTTAATTTCATGTAATGAACTAGACGCGGATTATGGAATTACCCAAATTAATTGTGTTTATCGGCGAACGCACTGGCTTTAATTGATGCATATGGTGTCTTTATTGAGACATTAGGCCTGAGCTCCTGATGCACTGCCTTGTTTGCTTTTCCTCTTTTATATTCTCTCTCTGATTCTGCACCGCCGAGCACAGCGGCTGTCTTAAAACAACTGTTGAATATTCATGCAGATCATTAAGTGAAGTGTCCCATACAGATGAATGCAGGGACCTGAGTGCAGATATCTCTTGAAAGCATGCCGCTGACCCTCTAAGTTTTCCCCGCCACCTCAACTCTACACTCTGCATTCAAATCAGGAAATGTACATCTGCGAGCGTACAACATGGGTGTGCTTCATGCAAGGGCATCATTTTCATTCTCTTGGTGTCCTGCAGCTTGTCACGAGTACAGAGGTTCCCGTCCACTCCATGTTAATGCCCGTTTGTGCATTGTGCTGTCGCTTGCCGAACAATGCAGCGATTAGATGCAAATTTAAATAAAGGTTATCCTCCAGACCACCTTCTGATTCCCTCCCTGACAGACCTGCTCGGATAAGTAAGACAGATATCCTAATTAGAAAAAGTGCACAGGAGTGTCTCTTTTGGCGTGTGCCTGAAAATGCCATTAGAGCATAATTCGATCAAAGCAAAGCAGCTTCTGTGACTTTGTGCAGGTCCCACAGCAAGGTTAAGATGCTGCATAGAGGTCTATCTATTACTGCCTGCTTGTCTTGGGCAGTGTTCAGAGGTTTCACCTGACCCCTATGCAGTGTGTGCTGTCACACCACTAGATGGCACTGTGGAACAGGGCGAATGAAGCAATTCTCACTGAATATTTTCATAACTGAAGAAAAATACAAATAAAACTGATACAAAAAACATTGCATTCATACTGATTCTGCTATTACCATAATACCTGCAACTATTATTACTAATACTACTGTTTTTACTGCTATAGCCATAAAACCTCTTCAACTTTCACTATTACCACAGATAGGTTTACCACTGTAAGTAACACTACTGCAACCACTGGTATTAGTTCAATTACTGTAACTGTTACTACACTGACACTTTTGAACTGGCTCCGCCTCAACCACCTACAACAGTAATATGTTACTTACACATGAATGCATCCATAATAATGATCCAGTGATATAATATACAATGTTATGTCATTTGTAATGTCATTTTATTTTGCTGGTAACTTTTACTAAAGACTATTTTTCAATGCAGCTTTTGAATACAGATTTGCAATAGAGTACTTAGTTGGTTTACTAAAGGATCTGAATACTTTTGCCACTGTAATCTAATAAAGCAGTGGTTCCCCACCCACTAGGGGTCGCCAAAGCTTCACTGGGTGGTTGTTAGGCCTTCTGGATTTTAAGGCTTGTAAGAAAACTTATACACAGTACGTCTTCTTCTTCTTCTGTGAAGAAAAGTAAATGTAAATGATATTGTTAAGGAAATTGTCTAATCTAACAATTACGAAGCGCCACAGACAAGAAAACACTGAATTTGTCAGAAATAAGCCTTTTAAAGCTGCAGTAGGTAACTTTTATGAAAATAACTTTTTCTCATATTGTCTGAAACTTTCACTACATCCTGACAGAAGCACATGAGACAGATAATCTGTGAAAAAATCAGGTTCCTCTGGCTCCTCCTAGTGCTCCTAAAGGTCTTGGCAAGAATCCCCCGGGCCTGAACAAAAACAACCAATCCGGGCTAAGAAAGACAGTCTATTGTTGAGTCTCATTCCCTGGTAGGAAGGGCTCCCTTAAGAAAAGGAGTTGGTAACCTCTGATGTAAATTTACAGTGAAAAGTCTTACAGTGTACCTCAAACTACTGAAGTACCACTGATCAACCTGCCACTGACTTTTACAGCTACTACAACTATTGCTACTCGTTCTGAAAAGCCTTTTTTATAGCATTAATTGTTAGTAATAATGGATGACTAATGGGAGGGTGGACACAATAAAACAAGAGTTACCAACTGAAGAAATGCCAGCTGTTTTAAGAGTATGACAGCTTCTTAAAGCATTATCCCTGTACTCCTCTCCTAATGGAAAAGGTTAAACAGCAGCTTTTGATGTGATGCTCTCGAACAGACTGGCACATCTGGACGCGCCCATTTCCTCCGAGCGGGAGGGGGGGAGGTGCCATCTCCCTGCCCTCCCCGCCCCCTCCACAAGCCCAGCAGTGGTACGCTCCGACTTGGATGCGTTCAGCTCATTGACCGGCAGACAATCCTCATCAGTACCACCAGAGCCCCGGAGCTTCCAACAGACCGGCCCCTTCCTTCAGCCCCCCCTCACAAAGCGAGCAGCAGCCTGCAGCCTCTCCGTCCCCGACATGAAACAGACTCTGAGCGAACTGATGAGGATGAGCAGGATATGCCGGATGGTATTTGCCACCTGTTTGGGATCCTTTATTCTGGTCATCTTTTATTTCCAAAGTATGTTCCAACCAGGTAGGACCCTCCTTTCTTCTCTCTCGGACGTGTGTGTGTGCAGCTGTGTGTGTACTGATGTATGGCATCTTGTCTGGCAGCCTCCTGGCATGTTGACACATCGATCTGTTGAGGCGGTACAGTAACGGAGCGGATAAATAATTGATACTTGTGCCGTGTGAACGCGTAAATCACCCAGCAGGAGCACACTGTCTGGAATCGGTCTTGTGGCGCGATGAGCACTCTGGATTTATTGTCTTGTTGCGCTTTTGTCCGGCTTCTCCTGAGCGGTCCGCGCCTTGGTGGAAGCGTGGCTCTGTGCGTTTGGATGCGGGCAGCCAGGCGCTGGTCGCCGACAAGTAGCACAGAGACGGAAGGGGAGGCTTTTTGTCTGCTGAAATGTGGCTCGGCGATAGCGGGGGATCGGCGCACGGGCGGGCGGCAGCGGGGTTTCGCAAAGTGGGCACTCAGCAGGCTGAAGCGATCCCGGTTTGGTCCACATACAGTAGAGGGATCGGAGACCAAACTATAACAGGGAAATCAATTTGAAGCCCATATGTAAAAATAATCTTCAGGGAGCTTTTAGGACCGATGTCCTCTCTAATCTGTGCGCGCCTGGAGACCCGTTAAATCATTTATCACACCATAAAGGAGATCCTCTCCGTGCCAGCGGGGGTTCCGGGGGGAGAACTGGAGTCAAATAATGTTCAATTAGGAGATTTGATATGGAATGTAATCAACGCCCCTGGATGTGCTGTCCGTGCGTCGTACAGCGGCGTCTCTGTGCGCCAAAATCAAAGAACCCTGCGTTCTGACGCGCAAAAGGAGGAGCGCACAGCGGTGTCCACTCAGTGCTGCTGACCTACAGTACAACAGGTTTACTGTACGGCGAGGAAGAGAGGAAACCTTTCTGGGTATTGCTATTACATGAACAGAAACTGAATCATTCCCAAACAGAGATGATAATCCCATAATGCTGCTGCTGGAGACAGTGTGTCTGCGAGGCTCTGGGGTTGATTTTATCATGCTGATGGTCTTTAAATACTCATACCATACTTCAGGTTGCAGCATCTGAAATGGATAGTGTAGCATCAATGCTCTAGTGTCCATTGGTATAAGGTCTGTGTGTCTGCCTTTAGGTGTTGATGTGAGAGCAGAGGAAACCTCATAGAGGAGTTCAGGGGCTGCTGGGATATGAAAGAGATGGAACATGAGATACGCCAAGCATACAGGAGAATCATCCACACCAGCATGAAACCAAAGCAGACGCGCTGTCACATTCTCTGATCAGGAGGCATTTTTCTGCACATCCACTGACTCTGTGTGAGTCACCAGTGTTGCTGCTGGCGGCCGTGGACAATTGATATTTCTAATCCCCACAAAGAACTTCCACTTCAAGGAGCCTATAGTGTGTTAAATGGCTAAGGCATGACTGTACTGTCATAATATTCCTGTAAAAATATAATCAAATTAGTGTACATTACATCAGAAGCCTTTCGCATGTCAGCAGCTGCTAAACAGATCAACAATTGGACTCCATTCACCCCTTATGTATGGTTGACACTGGCTTTAAAGCTGCAGTAGGTACATTTTATAAAATTAACTTTTTGTCATATTTGCTGAAACTTTCACTATATCCTGACAGTAGAACATGAGACGGATAATCTGTGAAAAAATCTGGTTCCTCTGGCTCCTCCCAGTGCTCCTAATGGCATTGGATTGGTTGTTTGCGTTCAGGCCCGGTGGATTCTTGCAAATGCCATTAGGGTCATTATAGTGAAAGTTTCAGCAAATATGACAATAAAAATACTTGTATGAAAGTTCCCCACTGCTGTATGTGGGGAAAAAAAGGCAATAATAATAGCAAAATCCATCTTTTCCCTTTAAGTAGTAAATATTTTCCTTTCTTTTGGTTTTAATAAAACCAAATATGTAAAAATATATTGAAGTGGTAACCCTTCCCTTTGCCACAAACTGGGCAGCACATTTAATGAAGGCAACAAATCCTAAAATGAGCATTAAGCCTTGTTATTACACCAAATAAGGAAATATTTATATTACATATGGCTCTACATGAGCAAATATATAATGTACAGTCTGTCTTCCCAAGACCCCAAGCAGAACATTAGGGTTAAAGGGTCAGTTCCCCCAAAATTACAGATTTAGTGTTGGTTTTATCTGCTTAGGGTCTGAAGAAGAATCCAATTTAATTTTTGGTGCAAAAATGACATTTAAGCTCTCACAGTGAAGGAGTAGGACCCTTGACTACTGTAGAATGCATGGAACTATCCAGTGAAACAGTGTCCCTGTCTCCCTGGATACCCTAAGACATAAGCAATTCTTTTCTTAATAATTTGGGTGAACATACCTTTTCAGAATTTAATAAGATTCTGAATACCAGAGGGACCTGTAGTGGAATATAATTTTGTCAAGAATGACATAACTGTACCCTGTAGCAGGAACATTGAACAGAGTGAGACCTCTCCTCTACTGTACATCATTAAATGAGCTTCCAGGCAGGGAATTGATTGTAAAAATTGAACCAAGACTCCATTAAACCCCTGTCAAGGACCCCTGGATCCTGCTCTCATGGTTATGCCAATCTCTGCCGGCATTGCATCAGCTTCTGCCCGACACACACACACACACGCAGGTCAGTCACACACACAGTGGATGCTGTGTATTGTTGTGGTGATGACAGGGTGCTGCATCCAGGACGCTCTGATTGAAGAGGAGATGTGTGAAGAAGGCTGTTTGTGCAGGAGCTGGGATATACGTTTTAATGCTGTGTGTTTACGTGTGATTACACAGCTGAGACTGATACTAGTGTGTGTGTGTGTGTGTGTGTGTGTGTGTGTGTGTGTGTGTGTGTGTGTGTGCGTGTGTGCGTGCGTGCGTGCGTGCGTGTTAGTGTCATTGACTTCCTTTGCAACACGTCTTCTTATCTGTATCTCACTCTGTTTACCTTCTTTCTGAAATGACTTCATTGCTCATTCCGTAATCCGCCATTTATTCTTCTCTCTGTCTTTCTCACACACACACACACACACACACACACACACACACACACACACACACACACACACACAACCATTGCTGTCCATCAGATAAAGTTCCAGGCAAGCGTCTCCCTGCTTCAGGCATGTTTAGCGGTCCTGGGAATCCCGTCTGGCCTCCCAGTGTAAACTCTCACCTCTCTTCCAGGACTCGCGGGGTCGTGACCTCTTGTAAAAGAGACAGAGGAGGGAGGGAGGGGGGGTTCCACAGTGGTATATCACACTGTGGGCTTAACAAACACACACTGAGCAAGGCTTAAACTTGCAGTATATTCCAAATAAAAATGGATTTGACGTGTTGTTGCCATACAGAGTCAGCTTTATGACCAGAAAGGAACGCCACATTTGGCTTGACTCAGAGCGTGAAAATACATTTTTAAGGAAAGACTTCATTTTGACTTCTCTGCTCCTACCGCAGCTCAAAAGCTCTGCCGTGGACACCAGAGAAAGAGCAGACCGGGTGTACACTGGCAGCAGTCTGAGAGCACGCCAAATTAGCTTCAGTTTGGAGCATACTGTCGGTCTTAGCCAAAGCAGACAGAAAGCATGTGTAGTGACAACATTATGCACGCCAGTTCTCATGCTCAATGTCCAGTTGGGTCATTTGTACCTGTGTGTTAACGGAATATGCCAGCTTTTTGTTAAATAGTGCTGTCCATCCACTCACTCCTAGTAGTATCCGGCCAAGATATGTATCATATCGCCAGATTCTAGCCAACACACAGACGTAGCCGTAAATGGTAGTAAACTTTTCTTTCGGGCGGTTGGTTGGACAAAACAAAACATCTGAAGACATCAACTTGGCTCAAGGAACTTGTGACAGACAAATCGTCACACATCTGACATTTCATTGACTGAATGTTAGATGTAAGGTCCAGTGTGCACAATTTAGTCACATCTAATGCTTCTAAGGTAACGAAAACCCCAATGATTCTTATTTTCAGGGGATTATACACTAATGAAAACATTGCTATGAATATCATATTCAGTCTCTGTAAATACATCCTCCTAAACGTTACACACTGGACCTTTAACTGTAATTAAAGTTAGTTGAACACTGTTTGTGTTGGAATGGAGCAGAAATCTCAATATTCAAAAACCTGGATGAATAAGACCAAAGCCATCTGCATAGTTAGATATTACTAGGGGCAAGTAATTTGGGTGAACTGATACTTTAATGTGCTAAAGCACCAGCATAGAGTTATCCAGCAGAGACTGGTGATTTTGGGCCATCAGGTATTGGTTACTAATTCGGACGAAATCCCCCCAAAAGTTGGCGGAGTGCTTTTAAGAGTTACGTTTGAAATTGAAAAGAAACATCCAGCGTTTGGAAAAACTAATCTGACAAAATGTCTGCTGGCGTCACAGGAAAGCTCGCATTAGAATATCACTCAAGTAATTTAAGACGCTTACTGACAGCAGTCCCGTCTACGCACCTAAAATATTGAGTCATGAATTTCAAGCAGCAAAAAGCTTTTTCCAAAATGAACACATAGGGTTTTACGAAAGCAAATCCCACCTTACAATAGACTGCCACACATACAGTACACATTGCTTTGGACACAAGCAGCCTGGCGGTGAAACATAGGTCATTTGTGCCAAATGGGGGTTGTCACGCCTGTTGTTCTGTTACAGCCAAAAGGGCCAGCTCGTTTAGTTTCGCCTCTGCCCGCTGACAGCCGTGAGCAACGACCTGTGCCCTTCCACCTCTCATCCCGCCTCTCTGAATTCAGTCCAGAGTTACTTTGTGCCCGTGACGGATCCGGTCTGTCTCGTGAGTCTGAGGCTCTGCTGCTCCTTTAAAGGCATTGTAGCTGCCGAGATCAGCGTGGCTAATAAGGCAGTTTGCTCTGCGGGCTGCTTGTTTGGTTTCTTTGTGAAGTGCCTCTGGGATGTTTTAGAGTCTGTGTGTGCTGAGATGGCAGCTCTGTTCACCCACTCTGCTGTGTGTTTTTCAGCCTGTGA